ACAAACAAAGTCGGGCATTAAAAAATTATCGTGTCATTACATAAAAAATGTCATTAAGTTCATTTCCACACGGCATAAATTTTTTGTCATTGTCAATACCTAGTGGAAATTCGGCATTACTGTATTTAAAAACACTGGTTAACTTAAGAACTCACATTATCATCTAAATTTCCATTAGATTAGATTAAAACGCAACTCTTAAGATCATACAAAAAATTTTCTATCAAGGTTACATACCGCCAAGCACGCAATATTTTATATCATTTAACATACATATGAACGAACATATTAGCCGTTTCATTTGAAAGCGACCAAGTATTTATGCTGTTAATTTACCTGTATCTCAACTCGTTTGGTATTTAACTTAACTGGTTAACTTAAGAACTCACATAATCATCTAAAACTTCAATTCGACCCTAAACAGTTTTGTTAAACATTATTAAAACGCAACTCTTAAGATCATATAAAAAATTTGATATCACGATTACATTACCCCCAGGCACGCAATATTTTATATCATTTAACATACATACGTACATATTAGCCGTTTCATTTGAAAGTGACCAAGTATTTATGCTGTTAATTTACCTGTATCTCAACTCGTCTGGTATTTGTTCAACTTCATCGGTCAAAGGTAAAAAGTTTCGTCATTCGTCTAGGACGGTAAACCAAATTACAGATGCATTCATTTAAAAGCAAGCAAACATTTATGTACAAAAGGTGGAAATGACTTAGGCTACTTTCAAAATAAACTACTCGTATGTTCGTGATTAGTCGTGCCTAACTTTTTACAAGTCCCATAAAAGAAAATTCTTGTTTTTATAAGGCGTCCATCGAGCTCCAACTCCCCATATCTTCAAATATCAATAATAACAAAAATTTCAAAATGATTTCGCTCGGGTTCCTGTATCACTTGCATTGCCGAATAGGTGATCGCTTTCACTTCAGTACCTTGTGGATGTTTGCCAATTTCGAAGGGCTCACCATAACAACGACATTCTATCTCCAATTCTTCCAAATCGAATTTGGTTATTTCCAATTTTTTACAAATAAGAAAAGGTTCAGCGGAGAAGAGGAACAACAGCTCATCGAGAAAATGAAATAATAAGCCTTCGACATCGTCACCTTTAGCTTCAATTTGAAAACAATGCCCCACAGTGACATAAGCCAGATCAGTCATATAGCCAAACATAGCCATGCCGCATTGCTCGAAAGCCTCTTGTAGCGTGGATCCCCAGGCGTGCAATCTGCAAAGATATAGATATATATGTGTAACCCTTCATTGCAAAATATGCATTTACTCACTGCACATCCGCTGTGTGGTCTAGATCTGTAAGAGATATAGACAATTTCATTAAAAACATGGCTAATGCTTTGAAGACGGCGGCTGCAGTGCTTACATTCGTATTTGATTTCCGGCAGCATGAAGTTCTCTTTACTGAACTCAACCTCCATATTGTGTAGTTATTTTAAATAGCTTGGTTTTTTACTTTCCACACTATTTATGGTGAAATAAATAAATTTTAGCATTTACTATTTGCAAAACGTGCAATCAGTCACCGGTGCGTTTTTGTTTTGTTTTGGTCAGTCAGCTGTTTGCGAAAAGAAACGCCAAAAGGAACATGTGTTTGTGCAGGTAATAGATGAGACACAAAACGATTGTATAAGATTAGGTCTGTTTCTTTACTCATAATTATCCTTAATTAATTATCAAAGCAAAGAAGGTTAATTTATAAGGGACAATTCGCTGAACTGTGGCGGGTGAGTCTAGAAGGTTTCGCGGCGACAAAGAACGTTCAAGAGGGAGGGATCGATGATAGAAATCAAGGCGAATTTATACAAGGCGATGTTGTAAAGTCAGCTGCAAGGCGAATTAATATAAGGTGGTGTTACTAGCTCAGCTGATTTTGTGTATGTGTTTCGCCGCACGGCTTCTGATATCAAATTGAAAAATTTTGTTTGAATTTCTACACACATCTTAGAGATTTTGACAGTTTATGCCGCCAAAGCTAAAACAAAATACATGTAAATTTTTGTTTTTGTACTCCTGCTGTCACCTTATATTAATCTTGGAGTTTGAGTTAGCTTTTTATGCACGACGTTCAATTTCGGTTGATTCCATACAAGTTCAACCCTGCGTGAGTTGAACGCAAAATCGCCTCGTGCAAACACCTTTTAAATGAAACGAGCAACACCAATAGTTTCCGTGTATACTACCGTGCCCACCTTTAGTTTATACACTTTGAAATATTTTTGCTTCAAATTTGTATGAACTAAAAGTGTGAAGTGTATGAACTAAAGGTGTGCGGGTTAGTAAACACAGTATAAGAGGGAAAAGTAAATCTATTGAATTTTGTGTTATTCGCTTTTTTATGCATGAAGCTATTTTTCTTGTGATTCTGTTTTTTCTCTACGTCTCTATGTGCACACTCCCCCTAATTATGTATGTACTTATTTGTTTCTAATATTAAAACTTAAAACTTCCTTTATTAATTTAATTTGCATTCATAAAATCTTCCGATCCTTCTGCCTCAGTGTCAATAGGTGGCGCTCTTCCGGAAATTGTAATCGTTGTTGTTGTTCCAGGATTATAGGTTCCCATATCTGCATCAAATAAAATTTGTGCAATTTGATGCTCTATGACATTCTTGACATGGTCACTATACTTTCGGTGCTTTGTTGCCACATATTCGCCAAAGACATCACTAACGTCTCGTCTGTTGCTCTCGAGACTATTTTTGTTATTTCGGCGACAGCGGCTACTTTCTTTTTCTGTGTCTGAAACCACTTCAGTTTCTTCGATGTGCACTTTACTTTGCTTGGGCTCAAAGGAATGGTCGTAGCTGGGTTGTTGTTGTAGCAGCTGGCTGGGTGATTTGTCGCGCTGTATAATGTTGCTCAGAGGATCATGGTGCTAGAAATGTTTAAAGAGATAATGAACAATGGAAATGTCCTCTTGATATGTCATATTCGCTTACATACCTCGGATTGGGGTTTCTTAACTTGTGATCTGTAAGCCAGGAAACTTAATGGCTCATAGCCGAACCACTTGGAAACATGATAGTCATCAAGTTCATGTTTCTTCCGCTCACGTCGGTAACAAGCAAGTATTGAATCCATTTTCTTCTTGGTTGCAACCGGATTGTAGCCCAGTTTAGTGCTGATGCTTTGCCAAGCTCTATCCTTAATTACACTTTTTTTATAGTATCTATCTTGCGGATCCCAAAGACATGGCGACATTTTATATAGATCAATGAGTTGAAGCAATTTTTCAGTTGGCCAACCCATTACAGCCAATATAAAAATACTTTGTTTATAACAAAACAAGTAAACAAACCACAACTGTTTCGTTTCGAAATTTTCGAACTTTTCTTGAGGAAAGAATATTCGTTCACTGATTGATGGAAAATGGGCGAAGGAATGACCACACGAACGATTGTTCGTTCGTTCTCTGCTAAATAAATTCACAATAGTATCAACTGGACAACATTGCGTTTAGACTAACAATGTTCAATAGAACGATGCAAACGATGCAGGCCAATTAAAATTAAATTTGTATAACACCACTTTTTTGTGTATATACATAAATATTGCCATGGATTTGCGGTGAGCAAATTTTGCTACAAATCGGGATTTGAAATAATCGGGGAAACTTTCCATTATGGCCGTTCGTTAAAGGTGCGGTGGGCGAATGGTAAGTGGGCGTGGCACCTCTAACCCACCTTTTTGGAGAGGGCATGAACCGCCATTGACAAAAATGCAACCCCCGACCACCTAGGCCCCCTATGGTTCCCTATGGACCCCTTAGAAAAATGGCAAAAATCGCAATTTTTACTTGCGTCCACAGTATTTTTGCGTAGAATTCCTTTCTACGTAACCCTTACTACGTAGAATTCTCCTTTCTGTGTGACCTAACTGGGGCTACCGCCCCAGTGATGTAACCTTGGGAAAGGATGAGGTAACTAGAATTCCCTTTCTGTGGGGTAAACCTGGGGCTGCCGCCCCAGTGATGTCTATTTTGGTTACTGGGTGTTTTATAAAATGTCTTGTATATAAAAATGTGTATATAAAAATGTATTGTGCAAATGAATATTTAACATTTTTCAAGCGAATAAACGCAAATGAAAATTGTGATTTTTGGCAATTTTTCTAAGGGGTCACTAGGGAACCATAGGGGACCTAGGTGGGCGGGGGTTTCATTTTTGTCAATGGCGGTTCATTTCCTCTCCAAAAAGGTGGGTTAGAGGTGCCACGCCCACTTACCATTCGCCCACCGCCCCTTTAACGAACGGCCATAAAGGAAAGCCAACCCAAATAATCAATTGCTATTCAATGTCTATAATCTCAATTTTTCTTATTAAAGGCCCGCCAGATATAAATTATTTTCTGCGACGCAGAGATGGTTTTGACTTATAAAATGCAAGGAAGATTCCGACACGGCACAATGAAAACGTTACAGCAAACAAAACGGCTCAATTTGATTGGTCAAAAACCAGCTGGTTTGAATTCGTTCCATAAATTGTTGTTGTTGTTTTGGCGCATATGCGTGCGTCAAAAGTTGAGAGTTGGGTAAATTTAATAAGTTGCGGCAACGCACACGTTGCCAATGTGGCATTCTCTATTTAAAATCATAGAGTTAACTTGGATGTCAGTCAAAAGCATCCCTTTGTTGTCGATTTCAATAACTATGGACTTTCATTCAATTTATCGATAAACTGTGCTCACGTCGTAATTCGCACTCTCATTCGTAATTCGCTTTACAATTACCCTCTGAATACGTTATTCGCCATACAAAATTTCGAGAGCGAATTACCTCATTTGTAAGTAATTCAGATGCAATTACGAACCCGTCCCTGATTTTAATCGGAAATATATCGAACTCAGCCGTCAGAGAAAAAGAGAGTAGAAAAAGTCAAAACAAAGAATGAGAGGAAATGACGGAAATAAAAATGAACTGTCAAATCGAATTAAGAATGTGGCGGTAATTTATCAAAATAATTCAGAAGCGAACGACATAATTGGCAGTGCTTGTGGAAACTTATTTGTACACAATACTGAGCCCAAATCGCGGCAATCCTGATCGTGACCTTATCAACTCATCGCCGCCGTACTTGAATAGCTCAGCTGGCAGGCCATATGCTCCATCAGCTTTGTGGAACATCGACTCCGTCATCATCGACTGGCGGTTCGGGTTCTTCTTCTTCACAACTTTCCGTGCTGTTACCATTCAGTAGGTTGGAAATGTATTCCCTCTATAATTTAAGTGCGTTCTAAATATTGGTAACTAGGTCGCCATTGTTGTTCTTACAGGAGTATGCCCTGGTCTTGAAACCTTCCGAAGGTCGCCTAACTCTGGTAAAATTTTCGGGCATTCTTCCTGTCGGTTAGCATTTCAAGCTCTTCCCACTCACATATTTCGGCCTCTCTCCTGTTATTGCTTTTAAACGTTAAGCTTTCACATGCGAAACATTATTACATGTATTTTGTTTTTGCTTTTGATGGGTGTGCTGTCAAATCAGTAAAAGCAAAAACAAAATACATGTAAGACGAAGAAAACAGCTGGTCTACCAACACCAACTTGTATAAATTAGCCTCGATTTTGACAATCAGTACCACCCCAGCGAAATTTTAAATCCGCCAGATCGGTTAATATTTCAGTCGTTGTCGTCAAGCTCAACTAACGGAAGCACCAAGAAGCGTGCAGCTTCAGTGGGGTCGGTCCACAGGGACAAATGCGTAAGCTGTTTTCCAGGAATACGGAGAGGTGTTTCCAGTATTGGGGTGTCTCTCCGCATGCCGGACTCTCATTTGGCACATCTGCGTCTAATCTGCTCAGGTATGAGTTTAGCCTGCTGCAGTAGCCAGAACGAAGTTGGGCTATTGTGATTCTAGTCTCCCGAGGCAGATGAAGCTCCGTCTCGTCGATGTCAGTTGTGTGCCTAGAATGGCATTCGCAGGTCTGTAGTCTACATAGCTCGAGACTGACTCCATGCGAAAGCCGCTCAGGGGCTGTCGATAAGCTGACGGATCCAGAGGTTGCTTTATCAACCTATGGACTTCGTCCGTCTGTTCGTAAAGATGCCTTCTGACATGCCTTGGCGAGGGCTTCTCTGCAAGCAAGTGTTTGTTTGGGTGCACACATCTGTGGATCCTTACTAGGAATTGCTTGCAAAGAATTGTGTTGTGCTCCTTTATGGGGAGCATTTTCGCCTCGTCGTGCAGGTGGTGTTCTGGCGACATCAGAAGACATCCAGTCGCTGTCCGAGGTGCAGTGTTTTGAGTCGTCTGCAGCTTCATCCACTGCGTCATACTAGTCCCCGGCGACCACACTGGTGCTGCGTAATTTAAAACCGTGCAGCCTATTGCCTTGTATGTTGCCAGCAACGTTTCTTTGTCATTGCCCAAGTACTGCCGGCTAACGACTTGAGGACCCTGTTGTGGCTTTGTACTTTGTTGACAATAGCGGTTGCGAGCGCAGAGAAGGAGGGCAGACTGCCGCAGGTTACTCCGAGTAATTTGGGGTTATGCATCATCGGAATTTGTGTATCATCGACGTGAATTCCCAGCAGTAGTCAGACCTCCTTCGTCCAGGTGGTGAACAAGGTCGCAGAGGATGTTGTAGGGGAGAGGATTAGGCTCCTAGCACTGAAGAAGCGAGAAAGCTCGGAGAGATACCCGTTTAGTTTCTAGCACAAGTCCTCAATTCCATTCCAAGACGCCATTATCGAACAATTGTCAGCATAGGAGACAATCGAGACTTCCTCTGGTGGTTGAGGGAGCTTTGTAATATAGTACTGACAAAGAACGTAGATAACAAGAAGGGACAACTGTTTGGTAGAACGGCCTCTAGTGTATTCGCTATCGGGGAGAGGAGTGTTATCGGACGATAGGGCTCTCCTTTGTTGGCTGGTATCCCCGGTTTGAGCAGTGGGACCACTCTCCCTCTTTTCGAGATGTCTGGAATGAATAGAGTGGCCATTGACAGATTGATGACCTCCATTATGTACGCTACTCTCGCAGGACCCAAATTTTTCAGCATCAACATGCACATTCCGTCGAGCCCCATGGCTTTGGAGGCTTTCGCCTTCCCGATGGCTACCCGAACTTCACCACTAGTGAAAGCAAGAGGGG